TTTCCAAGATAACCGAATGATAGCTGTCTGCCAGAATGTGGCTCTGAGTGCAGAGGACAAGCTCCATTTAAGGCACCGGCTGCGCAAACAGAAGATCTTGATGAAGGTCTTCCCCAACCAGGTCATGAAGCTCTTCTTGGAAGAGTCCAAGTACAGAAACCTGCTGCCCCTTTTTGTAGGGCACAACCTACTGCTGGTCAGTGAAGAGCCCAAGGTCAAGGAGTTGGTACGAATCTTGAAGAGTATGCCTTTCCTGCCACTACTAGGTGGCTGCGTTGACGACACTATCCTCAGCAAGCAGGGCTTCATCAACTACTCCAAACTTCCTAGCCTAGACCTAGTGCAAGGTCAGCTAGTTGGAGGACTCAGCTTCCTAATGGCCCAGACCCACTCCCTGCTTCAACACCAGCCCCTCCAGTTGACCACCCTGTTGGATCAGTACATCAGACAGCAGCATGAAGAGGACTCTGTCAAGCCAGCCAATGAGAAGGTGGATCCTCCTGAATCTATTCCAGACTCATAGCCTGTTAAACCCAGCCCTGCCCATAAATATACTCTGACTCTATTGGTTGTGTTTCTTTCGTTGGAGATGTGGAAGAATTTGGGTTGGAAAGTAACATTTATTACCTGGTTTCCACTGACAAAAGCATAAGGATTCCACTTCACTAGAGTAACAGAAATTATTATTCTTACTCTATTTGTCTTTGGTTTTTCCAATTTCAGGTGTGATAGAAACAAAGGCCATTTTAATTCTCGGTCCAAGGCAGAGAAACTGAGGAAGTGATACTACTCTCTGCTTTCTTTCTTTTTTTCTTTTCTCTTCTTGTATGTACTGTTGAATCAGATCCAACTGGCACATGAGGAGATTATCCCTCCTTCTCCAGCAGAGCATCTGGTGGATTCAAACCATGTGCCTTCGGGATTCCAGTGCAGCTTCTTGTCACTAGACCACCAGAGCTCCTTACTCTGCTTTCTTGTGTCCACCACCACAGCTCAGTTGAGCAAATGTACTAAAATCCTGCTGTGTATCTAGCTTTGCACCAAGCACCTTAGTTCCTTAATTCTTGACCATGTATTATCACTGTTTCATAGAGGAAAATAGTAAAGGGTCAGAGACATTAATAAAGTATTTAAGAAGTTAGTAGTGTGCACAGGCCTTGTAGTTAGCAAGTGGCAGAAAAGGCACTTGAACCAGCCTATCTGCCTCTGAAGGCCACACCCTGAATTTCTATACCAGAGTATTTTCTCAAATACCAAAAGTTGTTTCTATGTATGCTGAGAAGTTAATTCTCCACACTGAAATATTTCAGGAAGTACCATATGAGCAAGAGCCAATGGTAATGAAGGAAGTAGTTCAAGCCTCACTGAAAACATTGGCAAAATATAAGGCCCTAGGAATTGATGCAATACCAGTCAACATGTTTCAAATGGCAGATACAGCCTTGGACATGCCCTCCAAGTTATGCCGGGAAATTTGGACAGCCGTCTAACTGGAAGAGATCCATACTCCCATTCTTGAGAGATGGTCCAATGTGGAAATAATTGAGCAATATTACTATCTCACGCAAACAAAATACTGCTAAAGGTAAAAAAACAACAGTATATAGAGAACTGCCAGAAGGTCAAGCTGGATTTAGAAGAGGCTGTGACATCAGGAATTTCACTACTGATCTCAGATGGATCCTGGGTGAAAGCAAAGAATACCAGAAGACTTGTCTATTTGGGCTTTTATTTACTGTGCAAAGACATTTAACTATGTAGATCATAACAAATTATGGCTAACATTGAGAAGAATGGGAGTCCCAGAACAACTAATTGTTCACGTGAGGAACATACCTAGGCCAAGAGGCTATTGTGCAAACAGAGCAAAGGAACTGAATGGTTTAAAATTAGGGAAGGTGTGTGTCAGAGTTGTATCCTTTCTCCATACCTATTCAATCCATATACTGAGAAAATTATTCTTGAAACTGAATTATAAGAATGTGGAGGAAACAATTCTGTTACAAGGATTGGAGGAAGACTCAATAATTTTCATTGTACTGATCACACAGCCTTGTTTGCTGAAAATGAGGTGGACTTCAAGTGCTTGTTGCAGAAGTAAAAGCCTTCAATATGGATTGCATGTCAATGAAAAAAAAATCCTCACCACTGGATCTATAGGCAACATCATGATGGGTGGAAAAACGAAACTGTCAATGACTTCGTTTTACTTGGATCAATACACTTGGTACCAGCAGTCAAGAGACACATTACGGTGGGAAAGTCTGCAGTCAGGGACACACCCCAATTATAGAGGAACAATCACATTAGTTTGAGGACTAAGGTGCACCTGATTCAGACCATGACCTTTTTCAATCACTCGCTATGCTGCTGAAAGCTGGACAGTGAATATAAGGATGACAGAAAAAGAGTTGATGCCTTTGCGCTCTTGTGTTGAAGAGTGCTGAAAATCCCATTGACTACCAAAAGAAGAGAGATGGTTTGAAGAAGATAGAGCCAGAGTGCTCCAGAGGCAAAGATGTTAAAGCTTCATCTTACATACTTAGGGCATGTTGCTAGAAAAGGCTATTTCATTGGAAAGGGACATCATGCTTGGGAAGGTGGTGGGATCACGAAAAAGAGGAAGACCCTCAGTCAGGTGGATTGACACAGTGACTGCAGCAATGGGTTCAAGAGTGTCAGATTGTGTGGATGGCACAGGATAGGACACACAGATCTGTTGTTCATCGGTCACTAAGAGTTGTACCTAAAAACAATAAAGCATACTATGTTGTTAGGAAAAAAAAATAGTAACAGTAGTGTGTGGTTTTGAACTCGTCTGTCTTTCTCTAAAGTCCATGGTTTTAAGTATTTTAAATCCAAGTACTACTAAGCATTAAATAATGCAGCAAGAGAGCATAGCACATTAAAAATACAATAAAAATTAAGTTAGACTGTTGTTGTTACGTGCCGTCAAGTCACCTGCAATTCATAATGACCCTACGTACATAGTGACCCTGCTCTAGCCTTTTGCCAATTTTATTGTCTCTGACACACCTACCCTCATTACCCCAATCACTGAATCGATCCATCTCATCGAGGGTCTTCCTCTCTTGTGCTGCCCTTCCTCCTTCTCATAAATCAGATCTTCAAGAGTGATATTTCTGTACCACATTGTTAGACTAAAGGGAGGAAGGGTAACTTGGCATATAATGAATGAGAATCTCTGGGGGCAGAAAAGGGGACTTTTTCTTAGAGATGGTGGTATTGCTCAGAGATGTCTATCTACTTTTTTTTTTAACTGCACTAGGCTGCTACGTTTCCAATCTCAGTTGCAATTCCCAAGCGAGTCTGCTCCCACCCTTCCTGTGTCCCTTGAGCTGAGCAGGCACTTCCTGTCCTATTGGAAATGAAAGTTAAGAGACTGGGGGTGGGGTATATGTGTGTATTTACTCTGCAGAATGTTAGCACTGTCAGTTCCATTATCATGGCAAAAAGGTACCAGAAAAGCTAGAATCGAAACTCGGACTTTGTTTTCTCGACAGTTTGGGCTTAGTATCTAGGGTAGGTAAAGTTAGTCAGTCATTGCGGTGGTGGAGTTGGAACTGACTCATAGCTGACCCACCAGCAAGTACTTCGAGGCTGTAAATCACACCGCAGGTAAGGTTACTTTATTTCTTAAGAAAATAACTCTGATGGCAGCAAGATGGCCTCCATGAAGGGATGTGGAAGGCTTTGATTCTACAGTCCTGCTCTGCTTGGATTGGTGGGGGTTGCTGGCTATAGTTCTCACATTCTTGGTTTTCTTCAAGTTCCTTCACTTGTTGAGGCTGTTTCTACAAGGACATTCTTCTGAACGATTAGAGGTGAGTGGTTTCAATTGTGTTATATATTCTTGACTCCTTAGTTAGTTATGTTCTTCTTTCTTAAGGATTCTTAGGATTTTTTTTTTTCTTCTCTGTTAATTTCATGCTTTTTTAAATAGTTCTTTCTCTCTTTAGCTCAGAGACACCTTGAAGCAAACCTCCCAACTTTGTGAATATCAGTGTGGGCTTAAATTCCAGGTTTGGTGAGTTCCTGTAATTGTTTCAGTTTCTTAAACTTTGCAGGCTAGAAAAAAGTGGAATGCAACGTCAAGATTGCTTCACATTAGTTTAAAAAAACACAAAACAGTAGGCACCGAGTTTTAAGATATTATCCAATCTGATAATACTTCCTTAAGTATGAGGACATGCTTGGGAGAATCTGAAACAGAAGTGAGAGGAACAGAATACCCAAGGATCTCATACATGCCTTTCTGTGTTCTTTGGGGCGCTCCTCTGTCTACTCCTTCTTTGTGTGTTAAGATCACCGTGGATGTGAAGGGGTGATGCAAGGTGAGAGAGACCTTAGCTCATCTCACACTGTATTAGTATAGTTTTCCGCTAAATCCTGTTGTTGCTGTTGTGCCTGGACTTAGAACCAACCCATAGTTGACTCCGCAGCGGGTTTTCAGAGGTTGCAAAGCGCTTGGGTAGAGATTGCCCGTCCGTCTCCCAACGAGCTGTCAGTGGATTCGAACTGAGTGCCTTTGCAATTGCAGTGCAGCTTCTTACCACTAGGTCACCAGAGCTCCCTTTGAAAGTTCTGGCAGCTCCTTTGAAATCCAACTTGAAATCCTTTCCTGAGACCTGAAATCTAAGGAAAAGCATTCACATTCTCTTTTCATGAAATCAGAATTTGTTCACAGAGGAAAGGTAATACATGTGAAAAGTCAGGTTTTGGCTAGACACAAGACTTTGATTCGACTTTGCTGCATTAACTGTTAAGCCTGTGAAAAACAAAACAAAACAAAAAACATCTTGGGCATTAGGACCCAGTGGAAGTGCCTCATTCAGACTCCGGGTTAACTTCTCTCAGTGACGTAAAGTAGCAGCCCTGGCTCTTTCTCTACCCGCCCCCGCCCCCCCATCTCTCTCTCCCTCTTGCTCCTTTTCTCCCCCTTTCTCCTCCCCCTCCCTACTCCCTCTCCCCTCTCCCTCTCTTTCTCTTCCCCCTCCCCTCCCCTCTCTCTCTTCTCTCTCTCAGCTCCTTAACATTAAAGAGAAAATGCTGCTATCAATGACTTCCAGGCCTGGGATTCCGACTTTTGGCTATAACAAGAACAAGAAGGTAGGGAAAAGCGCTTTTTCAAAATCCAGCTACTTCCTTTTCTGGGGATTTGGGAGTGCCCTTGGCGTTAACATTCTCCTTTAAGAGGGGAACGGAATTCTGTCTCCTTGCGGTGCCTCTCCCTCGCCTTCTACTTCTTTAGACATCTTTTCTCACCTGGTTCTGGAGTTCCCGGAATTTACCGTCCCTGGGTGCGAGGCCTGGGAAGGCAGGGGAGTGAAAAACAAAACCAGCTTGCAAGTTTGTATCTTTGTGAGATGAAGTTAGTTGGACTTCCTGCTGATGTACCTGGTCTTCACTGGGATAACATGTCATCTCCGAGTCTGTCCTTCCTCCCTGCACCCCCTCCCCAAGGTTATTTCATTCTTTTGATGAACTGTTTAAATCCGTGCCCACCCCCACCTCTCTCCTCCTCCTCCTCCTCCCGTCAGCATTATTGAGTATAGCTAAAATGAAATCTCAACAGCTTCGGGAGCCGAGTATACTGTCCTAGACCAGATAGCGCCCTCACCCCACCCAGCTCGTCGGGAAAGAGTCTTGAGGACCTACTTTTGAGGTTAAGACTGAAAGGGCTGTGATTTTTTTTTTTTTTTTTTTTTTTTTTTTTTGGTCTTCCTGCCTAGTAGTTCTAAGAACTCTGCAGATACCCAGAACTAAGGCTCATTCAGGATCCTGGGAGTGCTCGCGATTAACCTACAGCCGCCGGAGTTGTACTGTTGTTGAGCACATGGGCATTCCGGGGAGAGTGGGCATCTTCCAGGGAATATCTTTGGCAGTTTCTTGGCATGTAAGTATACACAATGCTGACTAGGAGGAACTTAGTGCTGGAGCAAGAAGACTCTTTACCCCCTCTCTGAACACTGTAGTTATTATTTGAAGAAAACAGTTACTATAAACATTTAGGAATATCTTTTGCTCATCTAATGGATTGCTTGGGATAGAGAAGGTTTCCTGTCTTAAAGTCGGGATCAAGGCAGTGTCGAAATGTTTGGACCCGAACCACTTAGTGTTAAGTTTATGGCTATTACGTTACACGAGAATTCATTTTGTCTATACTTCAGTATGGGTCTATAGGTAATTGCTAATTATCAGTAATTACATATATCTGTTAATAAGGGGAATAGTTCATCAGCCTTTATTTTCTTCAGAGAGCTCTGAAGAGGGTAAGGAGTTGCACAACCTACCCAAAGGCAGATGGTTCAAATCCACCAGCTGCTGTTTGGGAGAAAGGAGGACAGTCTCTTCCTGTGTGATTTATAGCCTCTGAAAACCCACTGGAGGATCAGGTCCAACTTGATAGCAATGAAGTTTGTTGAATTTTTATTCTCTTTAAATCTTATATAGTATTATGTAAATATTTTCTTTTTGACACTCTTCAAGTTGCTCAGCTTACACAGATCTATTAAAATAATTTTTGTTGGGTACTGCTGAGTTGGAACCATGTCATAGCTGACCCTTCAGCAGGTTTTAAGTGGTAAATCTTAAGGGAGGAGAGCATATTTTTCTCTTGAGGAGCAGCTGATGGAAAAGGGTCTTGAATTTACCATGAACTGCCAGGAAAACTAATGGGTCTGTCTTGGAGAGGGTGAAATCAGTTTTCTCCTTTGAGGCTCCGTCTCACATACTTTGGGCACAGGAGAAACCAGTCCTTGGAGTAGAACATCATGTTTGGAAGGGAGGAGGGACAGTGCAGGTGAGGAAGACCCCAAATGAGGTGGATTGATACAGTGACTGGGGCAATGGTGGTTGGTGTGGGATTAGTGAGACTGGCTCAGGACAGGTCAGCGTTCAGAGCTGCTATAACCATAGGGTTGCTATGGATTGCAGGCGACCTGACAGCACATAACAGCAACAACAACAGCTGTTGGGTTGACAGTGCAGTTGCCTACTGTTAAGCCACCAGAGCTCAAAATTATTTTTAAAAGCCTCATTGTCATCAAGTTGGAATTAATTCATAGCTGACCTTCCAGCGAGGTTTAAATCTCATAGGATGAAACTGCCCGTCTTTGTCCTAGAAAATGGCTGTGGAGTTGAACCAGAAGAGACACAGCCTTTGTATTTATAGCACAACTCCCTATGAATTATGCCACCAGAGCCCTTATTAAAATAAAATAAAAGGAAGTGAATTCTTTTTTAGAAGTTCCAGTTATTAGGGATATATGTGTTTGAAGCAATAGCGTGTCTCTTTTTTGCAGTTATTCAGCCTCCCATCTGCCTCCCCACCACCCTCCTTGAAATACAGGAATCATTGAACTAGCTTCTGAGTTTGGAATAGTATCAGGGATAAAAGTAATGCTTGTAGATTTGGATTCAAAACTCCTATCTCCTTCCACTAATTTGTAAAATTTGGGAAGCAATTCAGAATACAGACCAGTGGGGAAAGAAGTAAATTTGTAAATACTAATGCCTTACTCAAGAATTCTTTTGAGTTCTTGCAGGATAATTATGATCACATATCAGGGTGCTGTGTATGTGCAGCGCTTTGTGGAGTAGTGTGTGACAAGTATATTTAAACTAAAATGCTGCTATATTGTCTTTTGTCTTTATGCAGATGTGCTCAGGTAGGGCTTAGTGTGTTCCTTCCTGTGATTTGGGTAAAGTGTTTTGGGTGCATTTGCTCATGTAATCTGTGCATTTTCATATGCCAGATTTGGGGAAAAATAGACTTAATAGTTTTTAATAGTGAATATAAAACACATTTGTTTTTTAAATAAATTCCGTTTAAAGAAAGATATGAAAATCCAGATCTTCCTTTTATATCTCTCTTGCAGCTCCTTAACAAGAGTAACTCTTAGCAGTTTGGTGCATGTATCCTTACCAAAGTTTTCTCTATGTCCAGGCAAAATTTCAGTTTTGTGGTTGTAATAACTATTTCTTGAAAAGTCTATGTAATAAAGTTCCTAAACCTGTCCAAAACATCTTAAAAACGGAAATGTAGGGGAGCTCTGGTGGCCTAGTGGCAAGGAGCTGCAACTACAATCCCAGAGGCGAATGGTTCAAATCCACCAGATGCTCTGCCGGGACGGAGGGACAATCTCCTCCTGTACCAGTCAGATCTGATTTGACTGTACGTGCACACAAAAATAATAAAATAAAAAACAAACAAACAAAAACAGAAAATGTAATTGATTCTAAATTCCTGAATAGTTACAAATGATAAATGATGAATCTAATAATTTGGTGTTATAATTTAAATGAAGAGTCTCTTTTACATTACAACTTACTGTTAACTATAGTCAGCAAAAGTTTGTGGGATAAAAAAGAACTGTCAGTGACTTCTGCTTGGAAAGCTACTATTTATATACTGTTAAAGTTTGTGTCTTGCTTATTTGACGTGTATTTCTTTTACTTACTTGACCTTAAATATTAGGATGATTATTATTTTTTAAGATTATTTTATTTTGAAAAATATTTGTATGCTTCACTTTTCAAGTTAGCTGTTTCTATGAAACCCGTTACGATCATATTTTCTTATTCATTTTTGACTCGTGGCAAAGATGGGAATGCAGTCCATGAGTATATAATACCTAATAAAGGCAGATTCTTTCTTAAAATGTAGCTTTGAATTTTCATGTCTTCTTTGGAATTACAATAGTCAGAAAGGGAGGAAAGTGTGAATTTCAAAGATAGAGTCTGCAAAATAATCTAATAGTAAATTTGAAGCCGTAGGCTTTAATGATCTTCACAGTACTCCTGTACTCTTCCTTTTTTTTTTTGTTTTTTAGGGGGGAAACAATAAAAGGCTCAAGTATCTAGATCAGAGTTCTAGGGCCCCAACATTGTTTAATCAGTGTTTTAAGGAGTTGCCTCAGTAGAGATTGGAGTAGAGGTGAGATGCAAAGAGGAAATGTTTGGTACTGTAGGAATTTCAGACTTGTAAGCGACCTTAGCCACGCCCTCACTGACATCATCTCCCTGGCATGTGTTATTATAATTTAACTCCTCGTAGAATCAACAACCATTTCCTTTGGAAAAAAGGAAAAGGGACCAAATTTAATTTGGGATAATTTGCTTTCCACGTATTTTGCATAAATCTCTTTCCTGTCCATGTTAACATAGTAAAGACCAGTGAGGAGAGCGGGGCAGTGGGGAGAGGAAGACAGACTCTCTGGTAAGTATTGCCAGAGCCTCCCTTTTCTGAGAAGCTTGAGTTACCTGAGACTTTCAGGAGTTTACTTTTTTGAGAGAGGAAAATGAGAAGCATTACTATACTTGTTTATATTTCTAACAGCGAAAGGGAATTTTATCTCTTTCTCTGTGTGTATCTGTGTGTGCACACATGCTACAGTTCCAGCTAGTTTTCAACAATTAAATTTAATGAAACTAAGAATTGTTAAGGAGCACTGATAGCTTGGTGGTAAGGATTTACGCTGCCAGTGCAAAGGTATGCAGTTTGAATCCACCAGCTGCTCCTCAGGAGAAAAATGAACAGTCTCCTCATGATTTACTGCCTCTGAAAATCCACTGGAGAGTCAGCTATGGGTCATTTCCAACTCGATGGAACACAACAAAAACAGGAACTTTTAGGCCTAATGTTTCTTGACTTGTGGTAGCTATTAGTCTGTTATCAGTGATAGCATTAACTCAGTTGGTTAAACCTCAGTGGTAATGACTTTCTAGTTGATCATTCCTTTTAATTTTTTAGCACATTTATCCTAATTTATGGAGTCCTGCAGTATACCAGCATCTTAAGCTCTTGTTGGTAACTGCAAGTTGAAAGTTCAAACCCGCTTAGCCACTCCACATGGGAAGGAACTGACAATTTCCTTTAAGGATTACAGCAAAAAATTATGAGGTAATTCTATTCTATCACATAAGGTAAATGATGGGAGTTGAAAATTTGCTCTACAGCACGTAACATGACGCTGGTTTACTGACTGTCTTATGACTGACTACCTTTAGTACTACAGTAAACTTCCCATGTGATCTCTGTGCCTCAAGTGTCTCTATCCCCACCCATTTGCCTCTCAGTAATTTTATACTTGCTGTGGGAACAATCT